ACTTAAAAAATGATCCTGACATATACTGTGTCTTTTCAAAATGTGCAAGTTAATATGTACTAAGTTCTCACTGACTCATAGGTTCTAGGAATCTAAATTCTTAGTTGAAACAACTTGTAAAACCAGTATTATCAGAGCCTAATTGGTGTCGGTTATGTTCCTTCTGCATATTTATACTCACAGAACATTGCCCAACTTCTAAATAAAAGCCAAGGTACTTCTAATACTAAAAATTATTCAGACAATGACCCTGGCCCTTTATTTGTTATAATGAAATGCTTAATTGATATTTATCCCTTTATCTGTTATAATGAAATGTTGAACAAAATGACATTATTTGAGGACCTGTTTATACTGATCCTAGTTTTGTAGGTTCATCAAGGATTGCTTTTGATGATGTTTAGGTTAGGTACTTAGGGTAATATGCTTATTGAGCACAGTTAAAATGTACTCTGCTATATTGTGTTATTAGAACATTTGCTGTCCTGACATTTTAATTCGTTGATTTTGTCCCTTATTGAGTAGTTGATAGTTTAAAACAATATGGGTTTTACTTAGGTATTTACCTTTGACTTCTTGAGCATCTTTTCTCTTTAACAGAAGACTTCCCTAGTAGAACACCATGAAGTTTAGGAGATAAATAGTCCACAGCTCATTATGCCTATGGATATTTAGGTAAATTAACATAGGGTGTCTGGATAATTTTTCATAACAGATAATACTTTTTTGTCCGACTCTGAATTGGTCCTACGGGCAAATAGTGTCTTTCTCCTCACTTTAGACCGCCTGCCTTTTGCTGTGTATCACATCCCATAAATTTTTGCTATGGGAGTTGATTTATTTACCTTTTTTATTGACATGTTTTTACCTCTTTTAATTATCTTGGTTTTACCTTTGAGACTAAGTTTGAAAAAAATGCAATTTTCATTCCTACAGCAATGCATACTTAGAGCCTTACTAATTGTAGTTAGAATCACCAGTAATTAGAATTACCAAAGTTGCCTTTAATTGTGACTCTGCCTCTATAAAACTCAAGCTGTACATACAATTCATCCTTGCATGTACTTAGATATTAAAGGCAAACTAGGTTATAGGCAAGCTGTGGTTAATACATAAATCTGTAATATATAAGTACATATTTACTTTATATGTGTGTGTATTTGTGTGTGCTTTAAACGATACCTTTATTCCTGACTTCTTTATTTTGATTCATCTCTTGGTTGAATCTTGAGTCTTTGCATATTTGAAGATGTAGATTTCTTGTGCCACAGTTAATATAACATACACATTGTTTTTCAGACCTAGAGGTACAACCTCACTCTATATGTGTTTGTCTGGAAGTTTCCTAATTTCTCCTTCACCTTTGCCAGGATTTTTGCTAGATACTGGATTCTCAGTTGAGTTTTTTTCCTGTTAAACACTTAAGTGTATAAGCATAGTGCCTTCTGGGCTCCAAAGTTTTTCATGAGAAGTCTGCTTATGTTCTTATTGAGTACCACTTATATTTGATGATTTGCTTCACTCTTGCTACCTTCAGGATTGTCTCTGTCTTCTGAAAATTTGATTATTTTGTATATTGGTGTGGGTCTCTTTGAATTTGTCTTTCATGGAATTAGTTTTTTGGTTGTTTACAATTCCAGTGTTTATTGAATTTGGGAGATTTAAGTCATTATTTCTTCAAGCGATCTTTCTGCCCATACTCTTTCCTTCCACAGTGTGTATTGTGACATCTTTGTTGGGTGTACCACAGGTCATTTAAGTGCTTTTTCACATCTCTTCAGTCTTTTGCATTAATATATTTAGGAATCCCTATTGTTTTTCCTATTCCTTAGATTAAATTATCTCCACTGACCTGTCTTTAAGTTCACTAATTGTTTTGCTTGCTTGTATTTGTCTTTGAACCCTTCTAGTAAGTTTTTCGTTTCAGTTGTCATACTTTAGCGCCAAAATTTCTTTTTGGTTTCTGAGAGGTTTTGTATCTACTGATATTTCCATTTTGTTCAGACATCATTTTCTTGACTTTTGTCTTTTTGGTAGTTTTTTCCTGAGCATCTTTAAGACAGGCATTTTAAAGTTTTTGTCTAGTATATCTTCCATCAGTATTTTTCTAAAGATAACTTATATTGATTATGTTTTCCTTGACTAGATTCCTGCTTTTTTTTTTTTTTTTTTTAAAGATTTATTTATTTATTCATACAGAACCGGGGTACAGGCCAGAGATGCGGAGGGTGAGAGGATTCACCAGAGACAGAGTGGGGAGCAGAACAGGCAGATCGACGAAGCACACTGCTGAGGGGAGCAGCGGGCGGGTCAGGAGAGGTCTGCCACGCCATGTGGTCACCTCCGGGGCAGGCGGGAATCGAACTCATGAGGAAGCGGCTTTAGATTCTCAGTGCTGTGCTTTAACCCGCTGCGCCACCAGGGAGGGCCGATTCCTGCTTTTTAATGTGCCTTTTGTTTTTGTTGTTGAAAACAGAACCATATGAATCTAATAATGTGGTAACTTCAGAAAGTTCTTTATATGTTGAGAATTTTGTCCTTTTGTTTGTTGTAAATAAGTTCATTCTTTTGAATTTATTTCTAGTGTATTTTAACTATGCAGAATTCTTTTATTGCCTCTTTTTTATGAAAGAGACCCAGAACTGGAAGCTGTATGTGTAAGGCTAGGGCTAATCCCCTGAGACCTTTTGGTTTGAGAGAAGACTACAAATTTCTGGGTGTTGACAGAAGAAAAGAAGGTTGGGGGAAAGACTTGTTTCAGTAGGTAGATCTTTGTTTCCTGTTTTCTTGTCTTTCCATTACTGTGTCTGATATCCTAAGTCTGAGTCTGTTGTTCTTTTTTCCATAGTAAACGCCATTCTCCAGATGTAGTATAGAATAGTAGGTGTTTAGCTGTGTCATGGGTTGGTGACCTTGGAATCTTTTTCATTAAGTCTTTTTGGCCTGCATTTTAAACTTATGTTTGATCATTGTCTTGGGAAGTCAGTGGCACTAAAGATCGTGGAGTTATTTGAGAATTGTGTAGTAAAAATTTGGATACAGACACTTGGGCTGACTGTTTCCTCTGTTCTGCTATTTCTTCCATTTTCTTGTCTTATCTGCTACTGAATTCTTTAAAATTCTTTTGATTAATTGCCCCTATCCAAATTATAAATTACTGTCTTGGATCAGGTTTTCAGCTCTGCTCAAGCAGCTTTGGAATGTTGGGGAGGAAACAGTGGGGTAGTAGGGAAATAGCAAGGAACAAGGAATCCCCCAATGGGACATTCCCCCTTCCTAAGTGAGGGACAGGATATAGTGCTAAATACATATAACATTCTATCTTTCAATAAACCAGTTTATTTTTAATAGAGGGCCTTTGCAAATGCTCAATACAAATTGAATATAGGAAACTAACTAGTATTTACATGTGACATTTGACTGAGGAATCTGCTATGTTTGATGCAATTTTCCATTTGTATTGTGAATTTAGTAATTTGGTGTGGCAGAAAAACCATTACTGTAGTAGCAGTTAGGAATTAAATTCTCATCTGATTTTGCTCTTTTGAAGGATTTCCCTTTTTTTCTATCAGATAAATTTATAAACAGTGTGATATTTTCTAAGGTACTGTCTAGCTGTAAAATTACTTTGTGATTCAAATTGTTCTGTCCCAAGTTGGGAAAATCAGGAAACAAAGAATGATATTATAACAAAATCATGAGTCAGGTTAATGTGAGAAACTAGACAGAAGGAAGAGAATGCTTGGAACCATATATTAGGAAATGATATGAGGATTTTGTAGTGAACCAAACTCTCCTATTTGAACTTGTTTATATGAAGACAAGGATGGCTTCAGAAATAATTTAAGTCACATATAGTCACATATTGATTTGAACTTGAATTTCACATAAATAGTATATGACTGTAAGTGTAATACTGAAATTTGAATGCTCATGGTCTTCCTTTTTTTAAGAAACATAGTTGGATATTCAGACTAATTAAGTAACTTAGGTCTCTTTTCCTTTCTAGGTTTTAAGTGCCCTGTGTGCTCAAAATTTGTACCCTCAGATGAAATGGATTTACATCTAGTGATGTGTTTAACAAAGCCAAGAATAACTTATAATGGTAAGTGCAGTGTTTAAAAATAATATTTTATATTAGATTTACCTTAGATTGTATGAATTTCACATTTTAAATAAAATTTAAAAGGTGAGAAATTACCTACATGCCCCCAGCTAACTGGCTGTTTGGTCTATTATGTTGGCTATGCCATTCTTTCATGACCCTAATCTCCAGATATTCAAAACCCTATGGGAGACCACTTCTCTAGCTCTGCAGCTTACAGAGTGATTCAGAGGATGTAGGAGCTGGAAATCTAAGGCATCTGAGCTGGCTATTGCCTTGCTCTGATTGCTGTGGGACTCTGGTTTTCTGAATGTTCATGCTCAGAAATGGAGGCAAAGGGGAGTGCAGGCAGCTCAGGCTGTGCTGAACAAGTCTCAGCACAGACCCTGTAAAATGTTTTTTTTTTTTTTTTGATTGACTAAGTTGACATACTTCTCCAGATAGCCTTAGAGACTATTAAACTTGGAGAACTTAGAGAATGTATAGTCATGAGAGATCCTACTACAAAACTCTTTAAAGACCTTGGTTTCTAAACCTATGTATACCCAGAAGTATAGATAAAGTAGTAGGTGAGCTCAATCATGAGTTAGATTTCAAGATATTTGCCCCCAAAAGAGCATGTCTTTGTCAATACAACTGAATTTGACCACAGGAACAAAATATTTTTGTAGGCAGATGTTCTATGAAATAGTGGTAAAAGTTGTGAAACAATAGTTTGAGCAGTTTGGAAGATGGAGAGTACAGTGCTGATGTTTGATAAGATGAAAGACAGGTACAGAGGGTGTGACTTTTGAGAATGAAGATACAGAAAAGATAAATTAGTCTGAGATCTCAGTTCTATAAAATCAGTATAAAATGGTGGAATGTAAGAAGAGCTCAATCCAAAGAATGTATGATCCTACTTTTGACAAGAGACCGAGCTTAGGGACTGCCTTACATCATGTACTTTTCTGCTTGATGTAGGGATGCCAGGTTACCCCACCTTTATGGCAACCTGTGACCACAGCTACCCCAGATTTGCTCCTAATGGTGGCCACCAGTTTTCAGGCTGTTTGTTGTTTTCATAGACATAATTTTTGTCAGCTAGCTCTTTAGAGAGCTGTAACAAATTAGGATTTGTTATTAGTACTAGAAAAAGGACACAGTTATTGTTGGGACCAGCCAACTGCTACCAGTGCCCACTGAAACTGTCCTTATTGCCTGTTTGAATATCCTTTTTTCATTTTTAATTTATGGAAAAAAACCTCACATCCTATTGGTTCACTCATTATTTAAAAAAAAATTCTTTTATCCTCCATTCCCCTCCTGTTTTGTTTTCTCTGCACACTGTGAACACACTCCCACCTGTTCCACCCTTTACCACCTACCCCCTACATATAATGAGACTAGAGAGAGACTTCTCAAATACTCAAGAGCCTCTTCAAGAAAATCCAGGTAGAAGATAAAAACTATCTTAAATAATGACCAAACAGGTTTGTTAGGGCATTTCATCAGGTGAAATTTTAAGTTTTATTGACCCACTGGGATATGTGACTTGGAGCACCTGTGTTCTGTGATGGACAGTACAAAAAGTGAACATAGACTATTCTGTAAATACTAATGTGAAAAATTTAACCTAGAAGAATAACTGTATCACCATTATCTGGTTATCTTTGTCTTTGGGGACCAATTGCTCAGTGACTCTTGACTTAATAAGCACTTTTGACTTAAAGGAGGGACAGTTGGGTCATCTGGGTGCTGCCTCATCTTTTACACTATGAACACCAACCCATGTCTCCCCTTCTTTCCCAAGTATCTTCTACCATCCCCTTCCCTGACCTTTGTTACTTTGCATGTCAAAGTCTCTTGACCCACTGAAGTAGGACCAGGGACATAGGTGCTATCGTATTGACACTCCCAACTATTCTCTTCAAAAGGGCTTTTCTTTTCCTGGATCCTGATCCTCTCTACTCTATTTGAACGGCCCTCTTTCTCTGGATTAATGAAGTACAGTTTTTCACAAGTCATCCCTTTGTCCACACTCCATAGTTCATGAGAAGTGACTCATGCTTCCATCTGACACATTTGATGTAGGTAAATCCATCCTCTGAATTTCAGTGTCATTTCGAACAGCAGATCCAATCTTTGTAATTTTGCTTATCTTATTAAAAACACTTGATGTGAAAATTATGTAGTTTTGTTACTCTGCTCCCTCCCAGCTGACTTTTTCATGAGTGCTTAAACACCCATATGGCTTTTCCCCATCCCTCTTTGCTCTTTATCTGCTATGAATTCCTTTGCTTTAGTGAACTTGTCCTAATATGCTTGCTCACACATTTAGCCATTGTCACAGTTTTGTTCATCTTTGTAAATAAGTAGTTTATCTCTGCATCTCCCCAATGACATTTTTATCCCCTAGTCCCTGTAAGTAATTGAAGTAGAAAAATAGTTTACCACTGGAAAAAGAAACTCTGGGAGAGATTTTCAGTACAGTATTGTACATTTTGAAGTAACCTTGAAAAATACCAAGTAGTTGATATGTTACTTTAAAAATAGAATAAAATGAAGGAAAAAGTAAGAGTGTTTTGACATTTTATGAATAGAAAAACTTCAAAGCTGATAAGAAATTTCAGATGTTTCAAATTTAAAATTTATTTGGAACAGAATGAATTAGAACGTATCAGTAAACAAGGAAGCTTAATTGAAAGATTGCCTTTGTTTTCCAATTGTCTTCTGAGCGTCTAAGAAATGTCTTCTGAGCACCTGTTGAGTATGAAGTATTGCAGTAGGAACTTAGGTATGTGGCAGTGAAACAGATGGAGCTTGTCACCTCCGAATGGCCAGTGATTTCTGAGCTGAGATTTATTGATTGAAGATTAACCAATGTAATATTTTGTTAAAAATCGGGTTTCTTCTCAGTTTATAAAACTAAGTTCTGTTGAGATAACAGCATTTAGCATCAAAATGAATGTATTGAGCGGCTGTTTTGCAACTTGACTTAGGATTCTTGCTCTGTAAGGTATTTCAAACTCACTCTGGAGATTTGACTTAGAAGAAAAAGGTTGGGAAGGAAAGCCAGTTGTGGGAGTTTACCAAGAAAAGCAAAGTTTTATTTTTTGTTGTTGTTGTTTTTTGTTTTTAAGAGTTGGTTGTAATTTAGAATCATCCTTTTCTTCCAGGTACAGAGATGGAAATTCCCTTACAATTTCTTTGTAACTAAATTTCATTTAGGGTAGCTTATATTGTTTTCAGAGCTTTTCTTGTGTCTATTCTAAGCAGAACAGAAAATTTCTCTGTCCTTGCTAGGGCTGGTTGAGCAAAGTAACAGAGTAGTGGGAGAAGAAAACCAAATTTAATTACATACTTAAGGGAAATCTAGATAGGCAGGGATCCCAAAACATTTGGGGCAGAATGAGGCTATATATTCTGAAGTCAAAGAATGGGATAGAAGCCTGGGCCTTCACTGAGAGAGGATCTGTAAGGGGAGAAGGTAATTCATAGGACAAAGACCAGATGCTTTGTAATTAGGTGCTTGGCATACAGATAAGTTTCTCTGTTAGAAAGATTATTTTTGGTAAAACTTCAAAATTTGGGCAATACCCCCAAAGTTTCATTCTTCTGGGTTATTAAGAGAGTGGTAAAAATTTCTCACGAGCCTGCAGGGCCTCAGTTTGAGGCTTGAAATGATCCACATGCCAAAGTAATTCTGTTCTTAATATTTTCATGCAGCCATATGCCAAAGAGACTTATTTTGTGTTGCACATTCTGTCACCCGTCAGTCCCCCAAAGTCTCATCTATCAACAGAGTCTAGGTGAAAATTGACTTCCTTAGTGCCTAAACAAGGTGAATCAAAGAACGTCTGAAACAGAATTTGTTTAGTCAGCTGGAATTCTCAGAACTTCATATTTGAATTCCTAAAGGGTGATTCCCAGAGAGACATAGTCATTAGAGATTTGGATTCAAAATAGTGTTAATACTCAAGAAAATTTTATTCAGTATAGTACTAAGTTCTTAACTAATACCTTTTCCATCTATTCATAAAGTAGTTAGACCTAAAACTTTGAAATGTACTTGTTGGATGTATATTCATTCAGTTGTCTCTAACACTCATAGTTAATAAAGAGAATAGTTGGGTTTGTTTTCAGGCTATATATATTTATAGACAAATGAATTCCAAAAATTTGAAAGTTAGTGCTTAGAGTTTCAAAGTCATACAGAGATTATACTCTAAATGTTGATTTGGCTTCCAGACCAGCCCACAACTTCCTTTGTTTTCTTAATTTTTTTTTTTTAATCTGTAATATATTTAAACACCTAAGTTCTGGTAACTGACGAAGAAAATTGATTGGCTTGTTGGAAGCTCAGGGTTTAAACAGTAGACACATCAGAAATTCAGGTAAGAGGCCCAAGACAATTCTGGCAAAGAGTGATTGAGGATGATAGGAGTGGTAATCTGTTTCTTGTAAGTATTGTTTTGGCAAGATGGAAAAAAATCAGATACCACAGTGAATGTTCATGTATATAGATTTTCCTTTTCATATCTGTTCTTTTCATGTACTTAATTGTTTAGTGTGTCAACCTCAAAATTCAGGAAGCAATTAAAAAAGCAAAGTATACATTTATGTGGGTTCAAGAAATTGCAGTCCATGATAATAGACTCAGGTAGAAAACTTAGATATGATCTTGTTCCATAGAGGGACAAAGTCAGAGTTTTTTATGGGCGGAAGAGAAAAAGATAAGGTATGAAAAAGTGGAGATGAAGTTGAAGAAAAGAGTTCATTAGTGTTAATATACTTAAACTATTTTTAGCTATGTTAAGGGGTCCCCTTAACAACTATAAATAATTGGTTACTGATCTTTAGAAAGAATGAAAAGGGAACTGACTAAGTCTATCTACTGGCAAAAAGTCTATACCAGATTGTTTCTTAAAACACTTGCTGTTGACTGAATCCAAAGGTCTTTGTTCCATTTCATAGAAGAAAATGTAGTTTTTCTGTAATAACTCCTCATTCCATTTTAA